CGGTGGTGCGGCGCATCCATTGTGCGTGATAGGAAACAGGATTGACGAACGTTTTCACGAAGAGCCATGATGCCGCTGTGCGTAAATTTCATACACATAAAAGGAAGAAGGAAATTGAAACGACAAAGAAATGTGAATAGGAAGCAGGTACTTGTAGAAGGTATAGAGGAAATTGAAATTGGAGACCTGCGAGTGCAATCCTTGGGTTGAAGGTTGACTTCTTGACAACAAGTATTTATTGACATCTTAACTCTTTGATTCGAGTAATTCTGAAAATTAGCGAATAAACAAGGTCGTAGTATACTTCAAACAAAAATTTCACGCGTACGTGATCGGTATCGTTAATGAGCGAGGTCACAATAGGAGCAAAACTTTGAATCATAGTATAAAAATTAGGAACCTTAAGAAACGAAGTGATCGTGGAATGTCAAGAAATGAAATGAACGTAGAATATCGAGAATATTAACAAGACGAAGAGAAGTTTTTCTTCAAACAAGTCGTCGTCCGTTTTATGCGTCCACGACGTTCGCTGGACCGGCTCGACGCATCGCGGGGAAGAATCGAGTAACATATTCGTAGGACGTATTCAGCGACTCAATTGATTTTGACGATTATAGCGATTTGTTCTCCCCTAAGCAGCAGCTGCGGCACGTGTCTCTCCAAGGTCTCCCTCTTTCTCTCGGTCTTCTTCACGACCACTTTGGGCGCCAGGTCTTCCTTGGTCTGTGGCACAGTCGACACACCTAATGGATTGGGATTCGTGAAACATTTTTAAAAGCATTTGGAAAATGTCTTCGAAGTCGTTTCAGGAGCCTAGAGCTCAGCTTCCCTGAACAGATTCGATAGATGTGATTCTAGTCTGAGATCTCCACCGAACTTGACCCATTCATTGGAAAATTTAGAAACTGAACCTTTTTACTAAAGCCTTCCAGTTCAGGTCTTTTTGATATAAAGTTATATCAAAAATCTTGTTAATGTTGTATTATGTTGCCCGAAAAGTTTCTTTCATTTCATTAATAAGTAATACATACACAATATTTTATGTCTAATATTATATTATTGAATTGCGTACGATTCATTGTGCTCCATTACTGTTACAACTTTAACATCTAAGGAATTAGGTTGTCTATTTATATAAACACTGCTACATAAAATAACTGAGTGCAAGTCACGGAAGTAACTTTTGGGACAACCTTAATAGATCATCAACGGCTAGATAAACAGATTTTTCTTCTATCATTTTTTTTTTCCAATCGATTAACCTTTAACGCAATATATGCTGCGTGACATTTTTATTTGTCAGGTGAAATACCTACGTAATTATCTCATTACTCTGTTAAGGGTTAGATTCCTTCAAGATTCAATCGGACGAATATGCAGCAGACGCATAAATACATATATAGAATTTATCGTTTTCGTTTAGGTTTGCAATCTTCGATGAACTTTACGATGTTACTTTTGCGCTTTCTCTTCCACTCTCTCCGATAGATGAATATGTAGCGTCTACGCGAGAAAGATAATGCTAATCGTGACGGATATTCGCGCATTTTTACCTATGGGAATAAAATTATAGGAAGATTAGAAAACTCATAAACGAGGGAACGAACGTTATCGAGTATTTTGTCTAATTAATGCCGCGTGAAGAAAATGGAAAGTTTGCTCGATGAACGCATCAGGTCGGAGTAATATCTAGTAAAAAGAATATGTAAAAACAAAACTTTTTGTTTACGGTTCTAATCGTCCTCTTTCCCTCGACTAAGACCGTCCGGTATTACTTCCGTTGGCTAGCGTGCAAGAGCGAAAAAAGCGTCCATGGAGGCTTGACGTCACGAAAAAATCGCGAACAGGGAACAAGAACGAACGATAGAATGAGAGCGACGTCGATGGGTCAGGAGGTAAGTCTCGAAAGGTTGTTTATGTACCGGCACGTGTCCGTCGAGGTCTCGAGGGGAAGCAGAAGGGCGTAGGGCGTAGGGCGTAGGGCGATACGACCATGGAGGGAGCAAGTGAGCACGAGGAGTTGCTGGGACACGTGTACACGGCAGACATCGATCCTGGAAGTTGCTCTTCAAGGTCGCTGCTCAGGCTGCCACCCTCACCGCCTCGAATCAACGACCTCTCGACCCCTCAGGATATCCTAAAGTACGCCAGTAGGCCAACTAACCCTGAACTCTCTCCGTGTACAGCGATTACCGTTCTCGTGGGGATACCCTTTTAGACCCGGAGACTCCTTCCACGTTTTCCTCTTTTTTCGTCGCGAATTAATTAATCTCTCCGAAAACACACATCCCACTCCTTCACCTCGACAGTAAAAAGCGTCGAATCATTTCGTTGATTTACGAGCTCGAGCCATCGAGATTCTTGTCGTTCTCGACGAGGGACGATAGCAATCGAGACTAGGTTAAAGTGTTTCAACGATCACCGAACGATAAAACGTCGCGGATGACGTCGCGTACGGATATCGATCGCCGGAATCGCGTGATCCACGAACTTTCACGGTGCTGGTATTTTATTAGGGAAAAGAATACTTTCAATTTTCAAAAGTGCCGCTACCGTGATTCACTCAAAGTCGCTCTTCTCTTATAAATCTATAGACTCTTTAACTCCAAGAAGTTATTATTCTGTTAGCATTGTTAGTTTTGCCCCGAGTAAAATTAAACACCGAGGTGTAATCCAAGTTGCTTTTTTGATAATGAAAAGTGCTGACTGTTTCATAAAGTCCGAACTACAATTCACTTGACGTTGCTCTAAAAATCACACCAATTATTATCATTTCAGTAGAATTTGAGAAAGTCTCATCTATTAATTATTATTCCCAACCCTTGATAAACACTAGGGCTCGGTCGAAAATGTCTAGCAAAGGCCAAACGATTTACCAAGAACGAAAGTAAAAGGTATGCAAACGTCGGAACCAAAATCGTGTCGGCTCGCAATTCCGTACACACGCAGAGACAGCGGAACGATTGGTCATCCCGCGGAATTCGTCGCGTTAGCGGCGAAAAAGACGAACGTAAAGCTCACCCCGACGGGACAAACGTGTTCGACGAAAGATGCAATTGCGGACGCACGTGCGGGCTAGCGTAAACACGTGAATGAACGAGAACGTGTGCGCCCGGAACGAGCAACGGAGAAGGAAGAGCGGAACGGAAGGAAGAGATGCGAGCAAGAGGGAAACGGGAGTGGTGGGATGAGAGGAGAGGAGCAAAAGAGAGGACTGCGCCAGCGTTGGACGAACGGAAGAAAGAGGGAGAGAGGAAAAAAGGGAAACGAACGACGCGAGCCGCGCGGGCCTTGTATCGAACGTAGCAACCACTACGTAGTCAAGGTCGGTCTTTGCCCCTAGCGTAAAGGGGCGTCCTCGGGATGTATCCCTCGCGATACAACGACCCTTCGCCTACCGTGTCTCTTCCTTTCAGTGTAAATAAACCTGCTCCACGATGCATCTTTTTTTTTTTTCAGCCTCTCGTCAGACGGTGTCTGGGGGTCTCTTAGGGCCCTGGAGTTCATCAACTCAGTGGTATAATGTGAATAGTAATTAACCAATGGAATTTTTTTAATTCAATCGAAACGATAATAATTCTTTCTCTGTGATTTTTAAAGCAACTTTAAATGGGCTCTGCCTTGAGTAGCACGAACGAGTCTGACCTTATTTCCGAGTTATTACAATCTTTGAATTTCCTTTGCTTGTCGTTAACTCGTGATACCAACACCGAAGGAATAGTTAACCTTTTGCACTCGAGTGGTGCCTCTAGAGCGACATATGTAATTTAAAAGTGATTCATTGAATACAGCTATTTAGTACTTGAAATAATACTACATTGAGTCATGAATGTTCGTAGATGTTTCTTTTCGAAGTAGAGTTTTTGGTTTTACAGAAATTTATTATAAGAATAAACTGGATTTGATTCTATAGAAAAATGTCTCGCGCGCAAAGGGTTGAAGTCCGAAGAAGCTTAGGTAAATCTGTTTAGCCACTATATGTTAAACCTTTCTTTCTAGTTAGAAGAATTAACAATATTTAACAGTTAAACCCCGGCCAGTTGCATAATTTTCAGGAAAGTTTCTGGCGAACCAGCGTGTTCCTGAAAGGGTACCTTGGGAGAGATAACGCCGCATTCGAAGCGTCTATTAGCCCGCGAATGGGGAGACCGCGGTAGAGCGCGTGTGTTCCATTGACACAGGCAGTAGTAGGAGTCATTCATGGTCAGACGAGCGTAGGAAGGACTAAATTGGATTCGATGTGTACACGCGAACGTTGCTACGCCTATTGATACCGCGTATTGAAATTCTGGACTCGCGACGCAGTGCGTCCATTATGTACAATTTAAAAATTTGCATAGCGATTTGTATATTCCGCGATGGAAACGATTCGAGGCCGACGAAACGATGTATACACCGGGCGTTTTCGCGAACGCGGTTCTAAATTGTTAAAAATAATTAACCCTGAACGGATGACTGATTATTGTTTATGCCACGCGCTATTGGAAATTAAATCGTAAGGCAAAGGGTTCAAGATACAGGTGGATAGTGAAATTCGAGGTACACACGAAATTGTCATTAACTCAACGCTGAAATTACCAAGGACAATTAAAATCGGTCGAACATACTCGCTTGCATCTTTAAAATTACAGAGACAGCGAATCAATTTATCAATATTGTCGTCAAAAGACTGTATCAAAAGCATCATAAACAAAAACTTACAGGTTCTCAATCATAGATTAAACGACAGTGGTTGAAAACCGACTTACTAGAATACTTGTAGGGAAAGGTAAAACGAATTTACTATTAACGCAAAACAAATCTCATAGCTCTCAGCGATCAATGTAATCAAACCCAAAATGTATCCATACTCGCTCATTTCCGTTCGATTACATTTAAAAGTGAAAAACAAAGGCAGAATGATTTTCAACTATAAAATTCGACGATACAGATGAAATTGACTTAATCACTTGGTAGTCCTAACGTTAACCACCTAGGAAAGTATAGAAAAGTAACGTTACCCAGGGCAGGCGCTTTCCTCTTGACACTACGGGTCCAAACCTCGAAGCAGTCCTCGAGCGCGAGGTTCCAGTGCTTGTCGAAGGCGGCCACGTATGCCTCCACGTGTCCCCTGATGCCGCACGCGTTTCTGGTGTAGACCTTCGGCACAAAGGACGAACGATTATTCCTTTTAAATCGCGGCGAGTCTCGTGTTACCCGTGGCCGCTTCGACCGTTCCAGGTAAAGCCGCCTTTTCTCAGCGATTGTTTTTCTCTCTTCCTCGTTCACTCCTCGATCTCTCGAAAAATAATCGCACGAACGTACCGCGCATCTCGATCCGCCTATACGAGATCGCGCGTACGTGTCCGTATTCGTCGATCGAAGAGGACACGCGACGAGCACTGGTTCCTCCAGTGGCCGATCGACCGCCTCAGGAGTAAAGCAAGGAGTAGAAAGTGGCGTGTCATTTTTTTTTACCCGACCCGCCACCGACACACGCATAATTTGTACAGGCTAATCGGCGGCTTTTTGCACCGCGCAAGGAACGAGAGGCCATTTTACGGCGGCGACTCGAGACGAGTACACAAGAAGAAGGCTCACGCACCTTAAATGTAGGAGCTGAGCAAAATAATCGGGAGGGTATCTTTATAAATTTTTGGTGAATGGTTCATAGATCCTCCTTGTTGACGTATCACAGGAATAATTCAGGTGTAGCAATCTGTTGGTCTATATTCATTGCGACTATGTCTTCTTCTTCTTCTTCGATTTGAAATTGTTCCCAAAAGGTTTTCTTCGTAAGAAAATTCAAGCACTTGAATTTCGAGAAGCTAAAGAGAGACGTCTAAAGTCGATTAAATTATAGCAAAACCAGACCAAGTCCACCCTGTCTAAGGACTAAGGATCGCGGAAAGAGCTCTTTCCATGAACCCCGAGCGAATAAGTGTCGTAAACGCGCGCAACAAGAAGCACGGTTATCCGTGAGACATCTCGAATCTCGTAGAAATTAGTTGAAAGAAAGTGGTTTCGCGCGTACCCGTCTATTTTCCACGCGACAATCTCGTTAATGACGGGCAACGCGCGACCGTGTCTACGAGAAAAGGCGCGCAAGCCCGTTGTTTGTTGTCGCGTAGATACGCCGCGGGACAAGATAGCAGGCTGATACGCGGAAGTGTAGACCGTGGCAAGGCCCCTTTCAATGCCTTTCGCACTGATATATACCCGCCTTTGTCGCAATGAAAACTAATTGCGTGACTCCTACGTTGACTCTGTTCCTCCTTCTCCTCCTCTCTTTCTCTCCTCTTCCCCCATCCTCCCTCTCGAACTGTCTCGCTCCGTCGCTCGCGTCTTCTCGCTCCACGCGCGTCCATCAGCTATGCGCCATTTCTGGGAGATCTCGCTGGAGATCGATCGAGTTTTCATTAAAAAATCCCTTCGTTCAAAATTTATTCAAAACCTTTGGGCAGGGCGTCTTGACGAGATTATTCGAGAACTTTTCAGTGTTAGATCAAATTAAAGGGAAAAAGGAACGCGTTGCATTATGGAGGCTCGAAATTGACGACTCTTAGCGGTTCGAGTACTCCTCTCGGGTGATTCGAACATAGAAAGTAAACGTACAGACGAAATCCTTGCTATTTAAAATAAATGAAGACATCTTATTAATTCTATTAATATTCAAACTTGGAAATAAAATCAACGCGTTAGAAACTTGAACCCCAATGGGTTGACATTCGAAATTCCAAACCGGGAGTAAAACATTCTTCTCTTCGGATGTTAAATAAATAAATTTCCGCGAAATTCGGAGCCTGTAAGATCCTCGAAACCGCTTGCCAAGGATTCGAAACGTTCCGACGCCTTTCTTTTGCCGTTTACTCTCGTCATTGACTTTGCACGCGTGTCCCATACATGCGAGAAACGCCATTGAGAGGAGGCAGTGCGTCAGAGAGAGCTGGTTGGAATCGATTCTAGGAGTCCTCTAGATTCCATCGAGACGTATCCTTGCTGATCCAGCGGGACAGGATTCGTCGACTAACCGCGAAGGACGACCGCGTCGCCTCGTTCGTAGATTTCGCTCGATCGCAGGTCCAAGGATCGCTGTTAACCGTGAACGAAAACGGGAAATTAGATTCTTATACTTGTTATAAAAATGTAACGGGGCATACACAGAGTCGATTCGAGTATACACATTTGGATTTAACTGTACCGGCTTGGGCATTTTTCGAAGCACACGATTATAGTTTATCTAGAAAGATTAGAAGAAAAAAAACATTTCTTAACGAGTACTCCGTTACTATTCGTTATAAAAGTGTTGACATCGAAAATTGATACCAAGTTCTTCAAACTTCGATACGTTTAAATCTTTCTTGAAGACAAAGTTCGATTCATTTCACTTTGTTCGTCCTCGACAACTCAAAAACAAGAAAAAAGGAAACAATAGTTAACTCGAAGCTACGCATATCGCCACTTGACATCTACAACTCGAATTTATATAAATTGACGTACACGGCTCGAAACACAATTTCTAACAGTTCAGACAACAATCGATTTTAATTTGTCTCCATTTTCTGTACATTGCACTGTTTCATATGCTACATTTCGTTTCATTGGGTCATCTCTCTGCTTTGATCACAACTGATACCGACATCGGTTTGAAAAATTGTAGCAAATAAACACGGTGCACAATTAGAGACTTTTATTAATAAATCTATCGATATCGTCACTCTATTTCCCCTTGAAATTTCAATTGCTCGAACACCATCTATATGTATCGTTGCCAACTTGTGGTTCTATGATTTCTACAAAAGACCAGAAATCGTGTAACAACGTTCCATTGATTTTCCTTTGTGAGGATCGTATTCGTCGATAGCCTTTTTTTTCGCATTTTCCATTGCGTAACCGTTGATTATCCGCGCGCATTGCGTCGGAACTCGTCGAAACAGCGAGTGAACGCGAGATGAGACCGGTCTCGAGGAAAAAACTGACACTTTCTTCGACAATTTGAGAAGCAGTCGAAGGACGATCGATCGCTGGCGATAGAATCGTTTTTTTCCGGATGCAGACGCATCTACGAAGGTTGGAGATTAGGATCTGATCCGAAGGACACGCGTGGTTTCAAAGAACACGCATTTATGCGTAGAGAAACAGTCGGGAACTATCGTAGAAACCATATTCCGAAAGTTAGAAGCGGCACTGTAGATGGGAGTGATGTTTAAAAGTAGCAAGTTTCTTCTAAAACTCTACACAAAGATCGTGCGAACCATTCCAATTTCCCTTCGATAGTGTCGCCAAAAGGAGACCTCCGATGACGCCATCGAGTGGAGGCGGGTGCGCGAGGAGCGACGGCCACGAATGAAAGCTAATGAAAGTAATTAATTAAGAAACGCGGATCCCGTTCTCTTATTGAAAGCTCGGGGTTCCGAAAGGAGTTTAATTAGGAACTCGATTCCGCTCGTTGAGAATATCGAATATAGCGCCGCCGCTTCCGCAGGAAGATCAATTGCATCAATTTAATGATTAATTTTTTGTCGCTCGAGCGAAGCCAACCGAGCCAACGGCCACGCTGCAACAGTCACGCGTGAGAGCTAATAATCGAGTTAATCGAAGAGAAAGAATAAAGCGTTTCCTGATCGCGCGCGTTCCGGAAGAGACCGGACGAAGGAAAAAGCGAGAAAATTCTTTCCAGCAACGAACCCGATCGCCGTCGCTCGATGAGAGCCTTTTTAGAAACGCCTCGAGCCACGAAACAAATAATATTCTGAAAAATAAAGGAATTCGTTGCGTCACTTCTTCGATCCTTGTTCGGAAGAATCGTCGGCGCCATTTCCTGCTCGGCTGGATCGTGGATCTCGTTCCCGCGACGATTTCCGAACGAGAGTGGCCCTAATTATGGAAGCAGGAAGCGACCGAGTCGCGAAGCCAGGAAGCGGATTTTTCCTCCACTCGAGGTTCGATTCGTCGGGACGAGCGTCTGCTCGAACATCAGCGATTTCTCTTCGTTTGTAACGACGTAGAGAAAAGTGGCGTGAAACGTACAAAGACCTTGCACGTTGATTTATTTCCCGACCGCGAGAAAAATGGCTCGGGCGATCTTTCACGGCGGTCTGATACGATCCAGAAACGTCTTCGCGTGATTTCATCGGAACGTCGTCTGACTCACACGCGATATATTCAGTTTCCCCGTCGCGTCGCGTCCCTTCGGCGGGGAGTACTCCGACGTGCTGCCACGAGTCGGTCGGATTAAAAACGTCCTCGCTTTCTCGTTACGCGATCGGCCGGATAAAACTACCGAGTTTTCGATCTCGTTCGGATTACGTCTGAGAGATTATTATTGTATTATTTTTAGAGCCACCTAATGTGTTTTTGTAGGTTGTAATTGAGATGTTTATAGTAGCTTCTTAACCAGTCGGCTGTGGCGTTCTCTCTTTTCGCTCACCTGTGTCTGTTGTGAGAATCAAGCTACGACAGGTATAGAGACGTCAGACACAGAGTAAAAATTCTCAGAAATTCATGTCACTTATACTATTGCTACTCAAATTAATTTGCGAAACGTACTTTTAAATAACCAATGGTAACTAAATTTTACGCATAACGAATATACTCGTCATGACACGAAATACTGCCACGTCAAACACAGCTGACTGGTTAATAGCAAATAACAAACAAACAAGAAACATCATTTTTAATACAGACAAATCCCTTCGCATCAAGTAGAGTCGGTGCAATATTTCTCATCCAGGTGGACCTTCAACAAGTCAGGTTTAAAGCATTGACGTTCTGGAAGCGTTACCAGCAACCCACAAAATAGTAGCCTCCCTCGAGCATGCAACGATATAAGAACGAACCCCTACACCGGGGATAAACTATCGTTTGCAGTCCTGATTTCGGGGGATACGATCGGATCGAGAGAAGCTGTCTATATATAGCCGACAGCGCGGAGGGTGAGAGAGTGGTTTTTCCGGTGAGCAGCCCTTTCCGTTTCCCTTTTCGAAGCGCGACCTTGTCGTTTTTTCGGCCGACCTTTCGGAGCAGGGCGAGGACCAGTGGCGTAGGCAGGTCGAAGAAGGGCCCCTCGCCTGTCTCCATGGAGATGCGTGTTGACCCGAACGGTTAACCGGCTTTTCCTTCCCTGTCGTACCTTTCGGGGCTTTTTTAGCCCTCGTTCACCTTCGGGAAGGGCTCGCGCACGTGTCCCTCTCGGTTGCGAAAGTGTGTCAGCCGCGTGTGCGTGCGTGCGCGCACAATGCCAGGGGTCAGGCAGAAACGGGAGGCGTGGGTGTTTACGGTGCCGCTCGCGAGACAACCCTCGAATTTCCATCCTCGTCCCACAATCGGCTGCCATTGTCTCCTTTCGACCGTCTTCGTCGACGGAATATGTTCTCCTCCTTTCTGTTCCATCTTTTTCATTTCCAACGGGCAGTTCGGTAGGAAAAGGTTTAATCATTTCTTCGGAATTTCGGTGTCATCCCTCGTTGGACGTCTTAAATGGAAGCAATTGATTAGAAGAATCGTGCACAGGCTACCTTTTTTGGGAAAGGGTTCATTCGGAATAACGAGTCGTAGTATGGAGGGACGATGAGGGAGTGTAGTAGAATAATGTAGAATGTAGATATGAGAAATTGAAATTAGTCCTCGAGTTATTAATTCGTAGCATGCTTAAACAAGCAAAATATTTCATGACGAGGTACACAGGGGTTGGATAAAATGATACGAACACCTCTGTTTTGGACTAGCCCTCAGGGGCTGTAGCTGTGGTCGCAGCTACCGTACGGGTTTGACGAACCCGAAGTACCCGAGCTTCTTGAAGTCCCATTGGGACTTAGCGGGAATGTCAGAGCGATATGAATATTAATGGTAAAATAGAAAAGAAGTATATAAATATGTTTGGTGTAGAATACCGGCCAAAAAACCACGGTGTTTTGCAAGTGTTGGAGCAAATATTGTAGGAAAAAAAGTGAATTGCGCTTGAATAGCCTGAACACCGTTAAAAACTAAACCAAGCTGTTTTGGACCATCTGCTTCCAACTGTTGCACGCAGAGTTCTGTGATGACTCCATCGCCATTCTTGGATAATCCAGATCAAGATATTCAGGATTATACCGCGATTCACGCATAGCAGTAGAGACTCCCGTATTCGAACTAATAGCGAGAGAAAAGTGGCCGGATAGTGAAATTTTCGGACAGTAGGACAACTACTGTCTTTCCCATTATATATCATTTATTCCAGTAGTAATGAACAAAATTGAGTTTCTTTCAACATCTAAGAGTCCCATATCGTTTTAGTAGCTAAATCGCATCAATTTTTTGTTGTAAGCACCTACGTAGAATTACATTACAAATGTTTCGATACGAGAAGGCACGTTGTGCGGATAACAGAACATATGGATAATAGAACGTCCGTATATTACGGGAATGGAGGTACGGATAAGGGAGTCTCTACCGTATTTACATTGCCAGAAAAGTTCATCAGCAATGTTGGTTTGAGGATCACCAAGATAAACTTCTACATCTTCGCTGGCGACATTCCAACATTCCACTAGAATCTAATCAAAAGTTGCACGAATCTATTCCAAGATGTCGAGAAGGGATCTCTTCAACTTGGGAATCGGAACACTAGTTCCATGTTCAGTGTCATCTATATCTACAGTATTTTGCGTATTCCTCCTCTTCTTGTACCTCTAGCGGCTCGTACCAAAGAAGGTCGAGGAAACTTATTTTGCTCGGAATCCAAGCGACCAGTGAAAAGCTAACGCTAGTTATACGGAGCATGGTCATTTTTACTTGGAATTGTCACGAAGAAAGTCACAGAAATCGTTTACATTTGTTTACCAATAACTTATGGTGATATATGACTCGTACAAAGAAACAAGCATATATCCAAACTCATTTCTGTCCGAGTCTTTAAATAAATTCTAGTAAATCTCCATAAAGCTAGCGTTAAGGAATGTTCTAAATCAACGATTAGTTACTCCCTAAGCAAACAAGTTTCCTCGACCTTGAGCTATTTCAAGATGCATAGAAGCAGTATCAAAGGCAGTCCGACGCCATATGAACAGAACAATTAATCTCTTCACGCCCGTAGCCGCATATGTGGACGTTTAGTTTCTTATAATTATAATTGCTGTCAATAATAAAATAATTACTTGATCGCTACAGAATCCCTCAACAAGAGGGATAACAATTTTATGGTTTGGCTGCACTGATAATGTTACATACGATGTGAAGTTACAGAAGAAAAATCGTCCCTGAAGAGGTTAATTAATATCGCGCAGGTGTTCGGGGTATTTCGTCGACCCTCTGCACTTCGACAATGAGTAAGTCGGTAAAAATAGGGATTGTGCAAATCGTGACCTACCTTGACGCGAGTCCGGCTTTCCATGTACTCGTGAAGCACTCCTAACGGGCCGAGAGTCCTTTGCATTTTCGAGAGGACGTTCTTCCATGAGTTCCGCGTTCGTCCTCCTATCCTCGTGCCGGACACGGGCTCTGCACACCAGAAAAAGACCATGCTGACTCGAAAGTTGTTCTGCTTCGCGGGGCTATTGTCCGCCGCGCTTAAAGTTAGAGAGAGCGAGAGAGAGAGAGGGGGGGGGGGGTTTCGAGCGTAGACGCTGTTCCTGGGAGCTAAAAACCAACCCGTGTAATTGATTCAACACACCTGCGGCAACCAACTTTCGATAGGTAACCGACAACTTGGCTGTCCCGAAGATGGAGCGGAATTTGATTGGAATAACTTCCTTTCATCTTTTGTACGAAATTTGTATCTGGATAAGAATTTTGTCGGTGACGTATTTGTGACAACGGAAAGGCTCTAAGTATCGATCAGGGGAGGGTTGCATCCATCTCGAGTCAAGATAGTTATCACTCTAACGAGTGGACGCGTTCGGCATTATCCTGGCGGAATTTTTACAGGCTCCCGTAACGGCGTGCTAATAAGAATTTATGCGGCTCTCGCGCCTCGTCGGTTCGTCGACAAATCATCGTTCATCCTTGTACGAGAACGTGCGGAGGGAAGCGCGCGCTGATAGCATCAGTACTTCTAGTTTCCTCTGACTTTTTGCTCGATTTTTGCTGGCGCGCCGGTACGAGTCATTACGCATACGACGATAGCGGAGACGAGGCACTAAAGACACGGTCTTCATCGAGGAAATCGGGACATCGTTTGAGTAGGGCAGTTTGGGTCTGAAGATGTCGAAGATAGTTTCCATTGAGTAAAATTGGAGGATAGCATTGGGTCTCGGGGCAATTTAAACTAAATGACGTTAAGAATAGTTTCCACGTAGGAAAGTTAGAGAAAAAAACGTTGAGTCTTACAATTAGAGTAGTTTGGTCTCAAATGCCAAAATTGTTTTCGTTTGCTAACTCAATTTTCTCTTTTTGTTTTTAGGTAAGTCGTGGAAACGTAACGTACACAAATCGATGACTAGTATTGAAAGAAACCTCGCATCAAAGATATTTATTGTAATTATTGATCATTAACCAGTGAGTATTAAGTAAACTCATAAATATGCAGTTTTTTTTCGATAATAATTCAAGGTGGAAAGAAAAACTAATAGGTAACTAATAGGTAATAGAACAAATTTCCGTTGGTTGTTTGCAAATTCTTTTCCATTTCCTCCAATAAACATGCTTCTATATCCTCTTTGATATTTATATAGTGTGAAATTTATTGCGACGAGTCGTAAATGTACATTACTGGAAAGTGCTTGAAAGAATTTACACACAACCATAAATAACTCCGCTTATGTTCACGAGTATTTTTCGTACATGGAAAAGAATTTTACGATCGGTTTTTGTGTAAGATAAACGAAAACGCTTAGATTTAACATATTTTTGAATTGTAAAAACAGATACATATTTTACTATACAACAACAGCAAGTGGTATAATCTTGCTAACAGTCCATAAATAAAATGTCAAATACCCAGGAAAAATCGCGGTTAAATAGTCAGGCTTAGAACAGAAAACGATAAAAAAAGTGTTTAAAAAGCTTATGTACATTCATCGATAACTCCGCTTATGCATGAGTGTTTTTTACCTTATAAACAATCTTCAACGATCGGTTTTCAAAAAAGGTAAACGTCACCGCATTACTAATTTTCCGATTTAAATTACGTTGTCTTCTTTATATTAAATTTGTACACTATCAAAATAATACACGAAATAGCATAGGTACCTTCATAAAATCGGAAGTGCTGTCAAATTAACAAGACCGGGATAAGCTTTAATCGATATGTAAATTTAAAAATTAAAAATTTATGAGAAATAACGTGCAATAACGAAGAGAATTTTAAATGATTTCTAATTAAGAACGTCTGTCCGGACTACCTGCGTTTTCTCTTCAAATTAAAATCATTGGAACCTCTACTGGGATCCGTTGCGATGATGTAGTAGGAAAATTTGGGTTGACTAGCGAGAGGGATAGGGGTCTCGTGGAGGTGGGTTCGGCACTGTCGCGGTGCGGAAAGAGGAACGGCGCAGAAGTTACGTAAAGGCTGGCCGTTGTACACGCTCCGAGCATTGCACACGAGTGCACTTATTTCGCTGGTGTGCGCGCGGACCACGCGAGCGCCACTTACAAGCGGTGCTTTATACGTACTCGTTTGCACCAGTCGGTAGGGGCACGACCAGAGATGGGCACAATTTTATTTTAATAACAATTGACGAACGGAAACTCTGCGCGATTTATTCAACATTTCGAGCCCCTGACGTGCCTTTAAACAGGAGTTTGGTTTTTTTATTTTAATATCAGTTTGGTTAGTGGGTTAAGGTACAAAAGAACTGTTCACGCGCGTTTAGCACTATGTAAAGTAAATATTTATTCAATTAAAGATATATATTAATGAACCTCGATTATTGCCGCGATCGTACCCATGGAACACATAAGGAACAATAAAACAATCGACATCGGCCGATGTCGCTGCCACGATCCAAGCCGCTGTCCATATATTTCCTAACATTTAAAAAAAAAAAGCTTCGAGGAATAATTTTAAGCACAGTTCTTAACATTATAGGATATTGATTACGATGGGTACTTACCATACACGTTACTATATCAAAATAACAACCGCTCAATGATGAATTGCTTGAAAGTTATATATTTAATGGAAAAAAAATTGAATTCAAAACGAATAGTAGGTTAAATATACGTATACCAAAGAGCCTGTATCATTTGAATCATCCGCAATAAAACAGTAAAGAGCAAGCATCAATGTAAACATGGAAGGAGTGGTTGATAATGGTCATAAAATGCAAGCTGAAGATTCTACGCTATTTAACCACTCCCAGTTCTGAATATTTTGAATAATAGAACAACGTTTTTCTGATCGTTCCTTGCTTATTTATTCTTACACGTGTACACTCGCGCATAAGATAAATAAATTAGAAAATAAGTCATCAAAGGACAATTACTATATTGTCAACGCATTCAAATGCGTCTCAAGTTGCTACAATCATAGATGCATTTCCTATGTATGCAGAATTTCAGTGTCGATAATCACTTATAAGCACTTATGGACAGAGATTGACCTATCGATAGTGTTTTATAGATTCGTTTTAAAACAGTGACGTAGGCATCTCGATGACGCGTACATGCATCATCCGAGCCTAAGTAAGAGTTCCGTATGACGCCCGCGTGCGTTACTCGACGCCAGTGCGTTAACTTTCGAGCTTAAATAAATAAATTCGCCCATCCGCGTGCACGGTCGAGCGGTCGATCGACGCTCGTCGCGCTCGCGAGATTCGACGCTGCCAATTGGCTTTCTCCGATAACTTTCATCCACCTTAAGGTACATTCGACCGCTCCCCCGCCGCCCGCGCGCTCTACTCGCTTCTTTTCCACCTTTCTTTATTCCTTTCCGCGTGCAACGCGAGCAGGCTCGCGCGAGCACGCCACTTTCACTATCGTCGCGATCCAATTCCGCTCTCCGCGAGGCGACTAGCCTCGGCTACTTAACTCGAACCGCCGATACGAGGAGAGCATCGAGAGAGCGTTCTCTCTCTGTCGACGTGCTAGCGCGGGCATTTTTCGCCGTCGAGGCGCGCGTTCGCGTCGCTCGGGCGCGATTTCTAAAAATAAAAAAAAATAAAATGTCGAGAGAAGCCACCGAACGAGAACCTCTAAGCGCCTAAGCCGAGGCGCGCTCGGTTCGATAAAAATACGTCACGCGGCAAGGCGCGAAACTCGATGGATTTTCGAAGGGTACGACCGTGTACCGTAGCTTCCCTCTCTAACGACCGCGGAGAAATTAGAAATTGCCTCGTTTACGGTGCACGCGCGCCTAATCGCGGCGACGCGAGCCCCCCCCCCCCCCCCTCTCTGTCTAGGAAACTCGGTGTCTGCCCGGTCACTAGAAAATGGATTATTTATCTTATGTAAAGTCGAGAGAATCCAAGCGTGCTTGTATCATTTGCTTGAGCTACAATACAGAAGTTTTATCAAGCGTAATAAGTGGAGTATCAACCCAAATATATTTTAAGTACGAGCTACTTTTATTATCGAAAAAATGATACAAGTAAAGTCTATTCTTTTATTCGCTAGTAATCTGTAACGACAATACAAGTGAGCAGTTAGAAAGGACATCGTTTGTATTCAGTATAGTTGTGAAGCTTGATTTTGTTATTAATTTGGTCATTTTTCCAAAGAGATCTAAACAGGTTTCAGTAAAGATTCGGTTTCTAAATTCCAACGACTCTCCAACCGATAAACAAAAATGGTTTGAAAAGCATACAAAAATTGACGAATTCTCCGTTGAAACCTTCACGATCACTCAATTAACTAGTCGTATCTCACACGTGGCCTACTTCATTCAAGGTGCAATCAATTTCGCTATAGTCTGCCATAAATTAGAGTCCGTTCTATCAGGGTAGTTTCCATTTAGCAACATTCTTTTGCAACTGCATTCTTTTGTAACGAATTATAATCACGTTCAGAGTACAGGTTATGGTCAGCTAAGAGTCACCGATATGTATCGTATCAGTCCTGTCGCTATCGATAACGACGGTCTGCATCGAAGTATAAAACCACGCCTACACTTTCTCGAATCTGAACTCCTTTCGTTGTCCTTGGCCCAGTCCATCCCCTGATATCGCCCACGCAAGGAAAGCATCCTTCACATTTGCGTGGAAATAAATTTCCAACCTGTTCAAAAAGTTTCAGGTCGGTCTCATTTACGGAAAACAGTCGAATGTTATGTCATTTGCTTTATCATTTATAGTTTTTATTATTTTTATTTATTTCTAGAATGTTCTAAAACTGTGTCGTAAGCAATAGGGGATTACCTTCAAGATTTGTGTTTGTTTTAACTTGTTCTGAAATTTTTGAACAGGATATTTCGTTGACGTTCAAATTACTAGCTTTTAAAATTCCACAAATGTCTAAAATTTTTGCTAAAATGGCTAAGATTTAAAAAAATGCGTAAAATGGTAATAGAGTTTGCCCGAGAGGTGGAGATGTTGAGGATGATCGCATCCCTGGCGAGAAGGCGA